GCCTGCGGGGCGGGGGCAGGATGGTGTTCGAGTCGCTGGTCGTGGACGTTCTCAACCGCTTCCTGGGCGACTATGTGGTGAACCTGGACAGCTCCCAGCTCAGCCTGGGCATCTGGGGAGGTAACGCGTCCCCGGCTCCTCCTCGCTCCCTCCTCACGCGGGCGGCCCGGCGCCTCCCCCACCCCGCCGCTGGGAGCAGGCCCCTCCTCGCGCTCAGGGCGAGCCGCCTACCTCTCTGCACGAGGGGCCCCTTTCTCTCGGCGGTGCCTGGAGGTGGCGAGGGGCAGGTGGCTCGGGGGCTGCCCCACGCGCCGTGGCCCCGGGGTGTGGCCCGCCCTCCCTGCCCCTGCGCTGAGCGTGGCCCGCTGCCAGCTGTGCTCGCCTCGCCTCGATCTCCTTTCACAGAGCGAAGGGACGCTGCCAAGTTAGGACGACTGCTTCTGTCCGGGTGTTGAACCCAACGCGACTCCTAGGAAGAGGGCGGAGGAAAACGAGCTCGTCATTGGATTTGACAGCTCGTAGGTAGAGCTTTCCCGTCCTTCCAGCTCGTGCCCCCCTGTTCCTCTGCCCCGTCAGTGGACGGGGAACCCCAAGAGGCAATTGTGGCTGCAAAACTAGACAAATTGGGACGGGAGGCATAAAAGCAGGGACCTGAAACTACTTCACTTTCTTTACAAAAGATCCTGTAATCTTAGTATTAGTGTCTCAGTTTGGCTGACGACTTTTGAAAGGAGCTCTTGCCATCCAGGACCAGTGCACACTTCAAACACTCTAAAAGTGTTTTTAAATACTCACCTGCACAGTTTAAAACCTAAACAAGTGAACTGTTGAGAAACTAAAAGTGAAACTGCCTGTGAATAAAAGTGGATCAGACTTGATTCAATTTTCATTATCCAAGGGTAGAGAAAAACAGGTAACTTTCAAATGTAATTGCATAAAGATGAAGGGAAATCAGTTTTACTGTAAACAGATGATTTGTTAATGATTTATAAAAAAACTTTTTTGTTTTTTTTTGCTTCAAAATATATGAGCATGGAACATATATGACGTGGAAGGTTTTATTTACTTGTTTAGCTTTCATTTCTTTTTACCTATGTTAACCCCTCCTCTTCTCTAGCCGAGTGTGAGGTTATTCAGCATAGGAGAAGCCTTGTGACTTCTTACACCACTGTGGGAGGCTAGGCCTGAGGCTGCTTAGTGTGCTTTGTATTCTGTATTTTGTGTGTGTGCACCTCAGACCAGACTAATTCAGACAAACCACCAGGAACAGGCTTTATTCTGTAACAAAACATAAAACAGGATTACAGTTTCAGCAACCCCTCCTCTCAGCATGCAGCCTGTGTGCTGCTTCTAGCCCTGTCCCTGCTGAGACCCTGCTGGGGGCAGAGGTTACAGCATACAACACAGCCCCCTTACAACGTGTTCCGACTCTCACAGTAACTAAACCCCACAATAACCAAGTCCATGTTCTCCCTTTGTGTCACTTAAACTCCTCTCAGGGTGCTCTATAGCCCTTTCTGGTCCTACCTGTGAAAAACATAAAATAGGATCTCAGTTCAGTAGCCCCTCCTCTCCGCATGCAGCCTGTATGCTGCTTCTAGCACAGTCCCTGCTGAGACCCTGCTGCAGGCAGAGGGCACATCCTGGCAGGAACCAGGAAGTTTTCCCAACATGCTGCAGTTTGCAGACCACAACTTGTAGTTCCCAGGGCTGCTGCTGAAGCACACTGGATCTTGGGCTACACCTAGAAATTATCAGGAATAGCAAGTATGCTTTTCCCTACTTATTTTTTCTTTGGAGGACTGATTGGTTGTCTGTCTGAAAGCATTGTAACCAACTCCCTCTTGCCCAAAATAGCTTTAAGCTTGTGAGCCTATGAATGTTAGCGAGTAGTCGACTAGTCTATTGCAGTATTGACTGCTTGCTTCTCGCCTTGCTGCCTCTCTGTGGGCCGAGGCAGCTCCCACAGCAGCCCCTGGCCCTGGAGGTCCCAGCGTGGAGCGCCCCCCCCACCGCAGACAGGGGCTACTGGCTGGGGGG